GAAGAGATACTTCGAGGATACGTACACTCCTTTAAGAGTTGGAGTGAGTTTTTGCCGATGGTAGAGTTTGCCATCAACAACTCGGTGCATGCGTCGACGACACATACACCGTTTTACGTGAATGGCTTGCGCCATCCGCGTGTACCCACCTTACTAGAGTGTAACTCAGGTTTAAGGGGGGGAGGGACTCGCGCGAGCAAAAACCGATTTGGTTCACGCTCATCACGCTCTGACGAAGAAGTCATTGCGTTTGATGCCGATATCGATAACATCGATATCGAAGAAGATGATGCCAGTGAGAGTGCGGAAGCCCTCACTGAAGACAATGATCCCAGTGAGAGTGCGGAAGCCCTCACTGAAGAAAAGGTTAGTGTTGCTGCAGTGCGCTCACAGCACACTGAAGCTAACGAGTCATCAGATGAGTTCATACTGGCTCGTGAAACGGTAGTCCGTTTTGTGCAAGACTCCATCGCCGAAGCGGTGGATAAGCAAAATCAAAACGCTGACAAGAATGGAAGGGCAAACACTCTTTTATTTAATAAAGGTGACTTAGTCCTACTGTCTACGGTTAATCTACCAAAACATGTAGTGACTAACTTGGGTAGCAGTAAACTACTACCCAAGTACATCGGCCCATTTCGTGTATTGCACCGCCTAGGCAATGCATACACGATCGAGTTACCACGTAAGATGCGAACGCATCCCACGTTTTACGTTGGTCGGCTTAAGCCGTACCATCAGTACGCTGCTTCTTCCGATGAAGAACGCCCTTGCGCTCAAGCATCTCGCAGAGAGCCTTGTGCTCCCGATGGTGGGCATCAACAAGGGTCTGAAGAGCAGTTATCTCAGCCCGAGACCGATCAACAATCCCACGAGCTACCCTTAGCTCGTCACGAAGAGATGTCAGAGATCTCTCGTTCTCAAGCTGAGCAAAGGCAAACTCAGCTCGATGCTTCGAGGCAGTGTCCACCATCTGGAGACGCCTATTCCGCTCATGCTCGAGATCGTCGCGTAACCCTTGCGTTACGCGATCAAAGAAGCTCTCGGGAACACACCGATCCACATGATCGTGTGGAGAGCGTCTTTCCTCCTCCTCCACCTCCATTAGAGGACTCTCGCGGTGGCCAGCGCTATCTAGTAGAGCAGCTGTTGAACCACCGCGACGTGAACGGACGTCGGACGAGTTACCTCGTCCGGTGGCGCGGCTATCCCCCGTCCTGGGATTCTTGGGAGCCCCGCTCCCAATTGATGGTTGACGTACTGGGTCTGGTCGAGCAGTACGACGCGACACATCCTGTGCCGCAGAAGGACCGCCGGAGAAAGTCTTCCCGGCACGGTCGTAAAGGGATTTCAGGTTGTCAATCCCTTCGTACATCTCAGTAGAGACACGTACGCGCCACCACGGGCTGGTAAGGAGGTAAGCCTCCTTAGGTGCTCGTGCAGAGTTGTTCACACAACATGGGCACGAGTCTCCCCAAGAGAGGCAGGGTAATCCTTTCTCCCTTGACAGACGATGCAGCTTGTAGCGTGCACCTGTCGGGGTTCGCTTTTCAAACTTATCACGAGCTTTGATAAGTTTGTCGTTCCAAGCGTCACGACCTACATCCTCGAGATTATGGATGTAGGCGTTCCACGCCTGAAGTAGTGAGGGACCATCACGTTTGTGATTCCCACTGTACCATCGATGTCTGAAGAAAGCATCGATGAAGAACTCATGTTCAGCGCGATAGTCTTTCGCGCTGGGGTCAAGGTGATGGATCCTTGACGAATCGAACAATCGTGTTCGATAACGATCACTCGTCGTCGCCGACAAGTGATCCATGACGGATTTAGGAGGCATCCATGCCTTCTTTTCTGGAGCGAGACGCAACACATTGCGGTCCCGCTCTTCCTGCGACGTGCCGACAGAAGTACTGGCACCTCGCTGTGAAGTGGTGTCCATAGGAGAACCGACACCACTATTAGCGCCCGAGTCTCGCGACCTCGAGCGCCTTCGCTTCGGCGATGGTTCATCTGACTCATCAGATGAACCAAAGATGCTGCGACGCAAAGCATCGTCCATGCCACGCTTGGCAGGCGGCTTGGATTCAATTGCCGTCGATACGGATCCGTCATCCGTATCAGGAGAGTACGAGACACCGAGCTCGTACTCTGTGAAGACACGAGTGTCTTCATGACCAGCGCCTGCATCACCAGGTGATACAGGCTGAGTCGATTCAGCAACCGGTGGGACATCAGTTGCTGTAGTTTCTGCTTCGGCGTCCGCACAGAGACGTGCAGACGCGCTCTCGGCGGCCTTGCTCGCGCATCGCATGGGCTTGTTTACCATGCGATGAGATGTTGGAAAGTGGACGCGGACCAACAAGTGCAAACCCCGTCCCAAATGATTTGGGACGAGTATCCATTTAGTCAATCAGTCACTAAAGTGACTGATGGTTAAGGGGGGTGATGTAACGGGGTGAATCGTTACATAACAATTTATAAGAAATTGTTAATAGAATATAACTATAAGAGTTATATTCTCAGAATATTGTCATAAGGACAATATTCGGTAGCACTTCCAAGTAGTTCCTAATTGGTTGATATAGGCCATTATATCAACCAACGAAGACGCGCCACGACAGACGCACGCAATGAGTGGTGAGCAGATAACTGATTTACACATTTGTATTTAGACATAGTTAGATGAAGATAAATAGTGATTTATTGCAGACATTAACTATTATAAATACAGTTCTACTTTTTACTCTAACCGAGTACTCGCTTCTTCTTACCGTCTTCCTCTGCACGTACGAGTGTACGTGAAGTTACGAGGCACCGCCTTATTCTGTTATCAGAATAAGTAGCTTGTACTGTCACCAGTACAAGCTTCAGGGTGCCCCGTTACACTCCGACTATACAACGGTTATCGACACTACGCGCATTGCTCGTTGTATAGTCGCGCATGTGTAAGCTACTCTATACGCATTACTCATCAGAGAGTTGCACATGAGCATTCTACTCTAGAGTAAATCTCATTGCCGTAGAACCTGTCTAAAGTAATTTCGCTAGGACCGAAGTCATGGTATTAGATTACGGAGGTTATTACTTTAGACAGGGACAGAAAATTTTAGGATTTTTTTCAAGTGGGAAAAATGGTACAATCGGCTTTGGTTACATTTTATTTCTTGCTGCAGCCGCCACCCCCAGCCACCCCCGCCTATGCAAAAGGTAGTCCCCCGCCATCCCCCAAAAAGGGAGTTCTTCGCCATCCCCACAATGTAACGGGGCACCCTGAAGCTTGTACTGGTAACAGATGTCAGAATAAGGCGGTGCCTCGGAACTTTACGTACACTCGTACGTGCAGAGGAAGAAGCGAGTACTTGGTTAGAGTAAAAAGTAGAACTGTATTTATAATAGTTAATGTCTGTTAATAAACCACTATTTATCCTCATCTAACTATGTCTGAATACAAATGTGCATATCAAATAGCTGCTCACCACTCATTGCGTGCGTCTGTCGTGGCGCGTCTTCGTTGGTTAGTATAATGGCCTATATCAACCAATTAGAAACTACTCGTAAGTGCTACAGAATATTTGTCCTTATGAAAACATTCTGAGAATATAACTCTTATACTTATATTCTATTAACAAGTTTTAGTAATTGTTATGTAACGATTCACCCCGTTACACACAACCTTTCTCCCTCCAATATGCCTCGGAAAGGCGCACAGTACGCGACAATGACGGACAAGGTCCGCATTGCTTTGTGTGAGCACCATGATAAGAACCCTCAGCTCAGTCAAAAGAATCTCATCCAGTGGCTAGAACAGAGGCACAAGGTAAAAGTCAGTCAGCCTACAATCTCAGGCCTTCTCAAGTGAAAAGCGACAATCTTAGCGAAGGCCGGCAACAGCAATCTTGACGCAAAACGTCAAAGGACGGTGAAGTATCCTCAGATGGAATCTGCTCTCGTTGAGTGGTTCCTTATCTATCAGGATTGAGCCAACGTGAGCGGGGGTCTTATCAAAGAGAAAGCAGCCCTTTTTCTTGACCAACTCCACCCTGAGCATGATGTGTTCGAGTTCTCGAATGGCTGGCTGGAATCATTTAAAGACCGGCATGAAATCAAGTCCTTTCGACATTTTGGAGAAAGCGGTTCTTCTTGACATGACACTCATCGAGGAATCACTCCTTTACATCCGGGGGGGACGCTGGACAAGTAAGATTGAATAAAAACTACAACATGGATGAAACCGGGCTATTCTACCGGCTGCAAGTTTGTTTTGGCAAGTGGACTTGTTTGCAACATTTCGTGAAAATTTGTGCTTACGTAAACTTATTGACAGGCAGATAATTTGCTGGCAACCAAGCATCTGGAAGGCCGCAAACAAAACAAAGAGCTTATCACCTTGGCAGTGTGCCGCAATGGCAATGGAAGTGACAAGATGCCGCTCCTCATCATAGGAAAGTCGAATGGTCCGCGATGTTTTAAAAACATCAGCCTTGACACCATCGGCTGCAAGTACCGAAACAACAGTAAAGCATGGATGACACAGGTGGCTGGAATCATTTGATGCTCGCATGGCCGGTCGATAAGTTCTTTTAATCATGTATAACTGCAGTGCGCATATGCCGCTTTCCCAACTTCCTATAGCTATCCGGTTGTGCAACAACACGGTTTTTACCCTCCCCCAAATACGACTCCGAAACTCCAGCCGTGCGACGCAGGCATAATCAGAAAGTCGAAGACTTATTATCGCAGGCGCTTCAATCGCTTGCTCCTTCAGCGCCTCGAGCAAAATGTGGAGGATCCGGAGAGGATTGAGGTTCTTCAGGCCATTCGGATGGCAGTTTTAGCTTGGAACTCAGATGTCAAGGCCAAAAATTTTTTGAATTGCTTTCTTCATTGCAAGATTTGCTCGGTTGCTTTGGGAACCTCTAAAGTTACTGCACAGTAGCTGGTCGACAATGAATCCATTGAAGATCTTCAACTGAAAATCGGTCCGTTGCCAGAACCCGATGGACATCAGAGTCCTCATTAACTACCCTGCTGATGAGGAGGTCGCCTACACACCAGATGATGATGAGATCATTGCTGAGCACCTTCGATTTAATCAAATTGAGGAACAGGAAGATGACACGGAAGCGCTTCCTCGTGTCATGTCATCTCAGGCACTCAATGCCACACAGACGCTTGAAAACGTTTGGTTGCAGCAGCCAGACCTGATCCAGGACTTCCTTATAAGCCTCCAGCGAATGAAGGACCAAATTGGGAAGATCAGAAGTAACCAACTGGTGCAGAAGCCCATCTAAGAATTCTTTACCAAGGCCCGTTAACTGCTTTGCACTCATTTTTGAAGTCCTCAATATAGTGAACATTAGTCTAAAAAAAATTGAGACCAGCCTTTGGCTATCAAGTATCAGTTTAGGGAGGTTTATAACATTTATTACGAGTCCCAAGTCGGGACCTGAAAAGAATATTACCTTAAATAGGTTATTATATTAGGAAGTATTACTTAAAACAGGTTGTACTGTATCAGCACCATTCTAGGTCAAAAGTCTCATTATCAGCACCAGTTCCATATCAGCACGAGCTAAAAATTGATCTAGTGTTGATCACCTAAAATTTCTTATAAAGTACACCTATGACTATCGCTTTCTAAAGAAGTGCTAGGTGGTTGGCGAATGCACTTTGCGATTCGACGCGATGTGCGATGCGTGAGCGAGACATGCGTGACGAAAGAAACATGTGTGGTATGTTATATGGTGTTGTGCATGGTCTGGTGAGGAACTGACGCAGAGTATACCTGTGTGATGTACAACTTGCGATGTTAAGTCTTACGTAAGAAGACTGGGTACGGCTTTGGCCTGATGTACGATCCCGCGAAAGTATTAAGGCCTTGGGGACACTGAATCCGGAGACTTGCTTATACTGAAACGATTATTATGCTGTTTAGAACGCTTACGATCGGATCGTATGACAACAGTTGTCAAAAACAGTAAGATCTTGTGGCTGATGTAGCCTACAAATTAACTGACGTTGTTTATTGATCTGTACATTTATGAATTATGCATGCAAGGACACAGACGCGGCGTCGATTTGAATTCGTCTTTTGTGTGCTGGTAGCGCAGGATGTGGTCACAGCCTCAACGTCCAACAAGTCACTTCAGGTAATTATATACATTACGAAGACGTGTGAATATCGCGTAAAGTTAGGCTTACACATTGTGTTGATGGTGTTTCGTTTGTTTTCATTGTAGGATATCTACCAGGAAAGCGCAAATCGTGAGTACGCAATGCCATTTTCGGACCAAGTAGCGGGACGTACAAAAGTGATGTCGGTGAATTTGTACGTTATCTTTTAAAGATTTTGTGAGCTTTGGAATGGAACGAATCACTAAACAGCACTTTTGCTCGTAAAAATAAATTTAAATAATGCCTATAGTGCATGTGATGCTAAAACTAAATAAAAGCAATTGAAGAAGAGCTGGCGCACCATGACGTTGTTAATCGGTTGCACGCTAGACTATTAATGTTGCACGTATTGTGGTGTGTGTTGTGTAAGCTGAAAAGAGACAGCGGACTCAATGTCATGGTCAAATGCTTCCATCTGCAGTGCTGGACGATGTGGTGAGCTTAAAGCATAGAAATACTAATTGCTACTAAGTTTAGTGCCTAAAGCTACTTAGTCACGCAAGTTCTTCTCGTTCGACGAAATCAGTCATCAGTTACCAACCGATAGCGCTAACAATAAGGACAAGGATAATATGATGTAAACATCAGCTTCGATGTCGCAATTAGCTTGTAAGATTCACGTGTATGTTATCTATTGTTTCGCTTATTGCAATCAATACTGTTTTGCTTTACTCCCCAGGGTCGCATATAACATTGTTGTATCGTATTAACATAGATGTAAAGCCATTTCATTTGCCGAGAAGATGGCGTCGCGATTTCCAGGCGCACGTCGGCGTAAATACTAATATAGTAAGAAGATGTAGTACTCTGGAGCTGCATCCATCCACTTTCTCTTCGTCGAACGAACTTCCTATGGGCATCGACCTTGTGGGCATACATACGCCTTGCTGTTACCACTCCTTTTTAACCCTGCTCTTTCAGTTCTGATTGAAACAGTTGTCTTTCAAAAACGTGGTTGCAGCAACACCGGATAGGAATATTTGTCCATGAGCCACTTCAGTGGCTCCATAACTTGCGCCTAAAGCAATCGCCACCCTTTCGCATGAAATCGTAATTGTTTTTGCTGTTATTGAGCACTTTATCTCGCGGTGCTTGTAGCATTATGTAGTTCACATGTTTGGCAGCACCAATTAGTGTTATCTACACTAAATTGGTTATTGGCTGGTGCTAGTTTTGGAACTGGTGCTGATAATGAGACTTTTGATCCAGGATGGTTTTGATAGTCAGATTTACACTTTACTCTAAGCACATTACTCGTCAGATAGTCGCTCATGAGTAATACACACTACTGGTATATACTTGTGGGATAGGCGCAATACTAATCACCATGATGTACCTTTCGTTTGTCGCTCGCTAGAAGAGACGCATCTTCAACAACACTCCCACTCGTCTTGGCAGCAACCTGAATACACAGTCGTGTGCGCAAAGCGTCGAATTGCCCGGTGGAGATTGTCTTGGTCATGCAATCTGCTAGCATGTCTTGCGTGGGGCGATACTCCAGCTTGACTTGACCATCCTCAACCTTCTCGCGCACAAAGTGGTAGAGGATGTCGATTTGCTTGGTGCGCTTGTGCAAACCTGAATTCTTGACCAACGCTATCGCTCCTTGTTTGTCTTTAAATACCTTCATCGCGCCGTTTCCTGCTTTTTTACCAAGCTTGCGCATGAAGGCCTTGAGACACACTGCTTCTTGAATAGCTTCCGATGAAGCCATGTAATCTGCTTCACTCGATGATAGATCCACATTGCGCTACTTCTTGCTACTCCAGCTAGTGATACCGCCATTAAGCAGGAGCACACATCCGCTTGTGCTGTGTCGAGTTTCGATGTCGACAGCTCAATCGGCATCCAAGTAGCCGGTCAGTTCGCCGTTGTCGGAGCCGACGTAACGAATGCCGTGTGTCGAATTCGCTCGCAGGTACCTGAAGACTCGCTTAAGAATTTTCCAATGTTTCAACATCAAACTGACTTAGCATCCCTACAGCTGCAAGGTCTGGCCGAGTACCAATCATGAGATACATTACGGCTCCAACAACATTGCGGTACGACACACCCCTCAATGGTTGTGTCGTGAATGCATCCACCGCCGCACTTGTTTTGTTAGCTTGAGAAAGGGGTCCTGCGGCGTTATCACAGGCTTGCAGTCTTCCATTCCAAACTTGGTCAGGACCGACTGCACGAAATTGGTCTGCCGCATCGACACATCGACCGACTTGTCATCACGCTCTACTTCCACGCCGAGACAGTACTTTAGTTCGCCGATATCGGACATCTCGATGCGCTCACTCAGCGCTTTCTTGGTCGCCGGCAGTAAATTAATGTCGTTGTCTGCGAGGATTTGACCGTCGACGTAGAGCACCACGAACATCATAGCTAATTCGTCCTGCTCAAACTACACGCAGTTATCCAGTTTGCACTTGTGAAGCCTGCCTTGATCAAGAAGTCATCGATGGTCTTGTTCCACATGCGAGGCGACCCTCGAGAACGTATAGTGCTCGCATGAGCTTGCAAACATGATTGGGAAGGTTGGAGTCGACAAATCACACAGGATTCTCATGTAAATCCCTTCCTCAAGAAATCCGTTAAGGAACACGGTCTTGGCATTCACCTGATGCAGCACGAGCTTGTTCTGTGCTGCAATACTCAGGATAATTCAAATGGACGGAATCTTGACAACAGGAGCGAATGCCTACTGGCGCACCTAAATCGCTAGATCTTGCCACTTTGTTCTCTTTGACCTTAAACACTCACTTGCTGCTGATGACCTTGCGGCCGCGCGGTAATGGCACAAGTTCCCACATCTAATTCTTCCTAAGCGACCCGAACTAGGATTCGCATGCTTCTTGCCACTTGTCTGCGTTGTTGGATTCCATCGCCGATTCGAACGATATCGGCAAATCTCCCACTGAGTGCACAACGCGAGCAGATTCTTTCCCTACGTCTTCGTCCTAAAATTACGCAAGATGTGCGGACATGTCATGGGACGATGAACGTGGGCCAAGTCCTGCTGTCAAATTCGTGCCACCTGTATGACCACTACGTTCATATCGCATGTCCACAGGAGGTTTTCGATGGATCTTGAAGTGAATGCGTACGTGAGTAACGTTTAGACCTCGTTTATTACTCGAAAGTTGGTTGCATATGAGATAGCAGTGGATGCTGACGAAAATTGTTCGGCTGCTGCCATTGCGACCGCTCGCTCAGTGTTCGCGGCGCAGCTGGCTGATGTGCGTTGTTTCTGTCACAGACGGCTGTCCACACACGCCATTTTTTCTGGTGTTGCTTCCGCTATATCCATCTGCGTCATCAAAGCCTTGACAGTTTTAGTAAATCCCCACTATATTACTTCCAGCTTGAGTGCAATTGCCACTGTCGCACGTGTATTCCAAAAAAATTACAATACGACTCACAACTAGTCGATCACTCATTAGATTCTCGAAATGATACGCTTTCTTATGGTGGGGCGGAGTAGCCGAGAATCGGCACACCACCGACCGCGCATCGAGTTTCGACTCTCTCTCTCTTGGTACATGCACATACGCATGACTTTCGAAGACTTTCAGATTCTTTATCAACGGCTGTGTCCAAAACTCGTATGGCGACTTGTCATTTCCGGTTACTCCAGTCGGACACCGATTTTGAAGAATTGAAGCGTCCATGGCCGCTTCACCCCATAACGCTTTGGACGGATTAGCGAGTTCGAGCATGCATTTGCACTCTCGAGTAAATTCCTATTCATCCGCTCGGCTACCCGTTAAGTTGAGGTGTGTATGGCGGCAAAATTTTTTGCACCATGCGTCGATTACGGCAGAATGCAGCAAGCTTGCCTGGTGCGAACTTGCCTCCATTACATCTTCGAAACACATTCACACGTTTGCCGGTCTGGGTCTTGGCAAAATAGACAAACTGCACGAGCTTTTCCAGCACTTCTGACTTACTGTGAAGCAAGAAATCCACGCAGAAGCGAGATTTGTCGTCGATAAATATCGCAAAATAGCGCTTGTTGGAGAATGTCGCAATCTGCATTGGTCCGCACACGTCGCTGTGAACGACTTTGAGCACTTTTATGGTACGCTCGTGTGCATTCAACTAATACGTTTAACCTATTTGCTTGCCGAGCGCGCACCCGTTGCACAGCACATACTTTTTCACCGACGTGTTGTCGATACCGACGCCAAATGTGTTCTTGACGATTGCGTAGAGTCCGTCGTGGCCAATGTGACGTAGTTGTAGGTGCCATAAGTACGACATACCAGCTTGCAGATTTACCGCAGCAACACTTGTGATGTACGCCAACTCTGGCTTCACCGGTGTCATGATCAGTTGAAATAGACCATTTCCACTGCGCTCACAAACCTTCCACTTCTGACCAATATGGTCCACAAAGCAGGAGCTGGTGTTGACTGTCATAGGTACAACATCTTTCGTGAACATTCTAGCTGAAAACAAGTTACGCGAAAGCTTGGGGACATACAACAAATTCATGAGAATACCCTTCTTGGAGCCGCTTGGAGTCTTCACCTTCATCACAACCTCGCCCCATCTGATCTCCTCCACGACATCGTCGTCTGCGAGATGCACGTTTACTGGGCAGATAGTTTTGTCGCTAAACATGAACTCCCTCGCGTATGACATGTGCTGAGTCGCATCCGAGTTTATAAGCCATGCCGTATCTTAATAACTACTGCTTCTCATTGCTTACTGTATACATGAATTCAACCGATTCTTCAACTCGATTCTACACCACATTTGCACGCTGCGGACGCTGCCGGTCCGCAATGTCATGGAACCGCGGTGAACATTCCCCGACTTCATGACACATCTTGCTGCAGTGATTCCACACATCAGCCTTCTTGTTTAGTCTCCCGCTGCGCTTTTTATCGCTTGCATTGAACGTTTTAAATGCGGTGACCCCATCGCCGCATTGTTCATAGCGCTTCATGTCTTCATGCAGGAGCTGATTTGTCACTAGCTCCCATGTCAACGCGTCGGAACGTGATTCCAGCTCCGTGATAATGAGGAACTGGTACGTCTCGCTAAGATTTCCGGGAAGCGTGATCACAAATACATCTTCACTGACCAGAGCTACGACCGCGTCGAGCTGTTCCTCCAGTGTCCCTAGCTTTTTGATGTGCGAAAGCACATCGTAACTCTGACCACGAAAAATGAGCATACCCATAGTGATCAATGTCTTCTCGACGACTCGAGTCCTTTAAAGTTAAACATTTACGGCTCACGATCTCAGCGGTCCTTCACAAAGCGTGATAAAGTAAGCTCCTGCTACAACATCCCCTGATATAACATCCAACCTCGATAAGATCCAAATTGAGGTGGACAAATAGAGATGTTAGAGCTGACTGTACATACCATGCGTTTTATCAAGTAACCAGGGAATTATCTACGCTTACATCTTAGAGAGGTTACAGACAGCTCGACTGTTATGTACACGAGTGATGATGTGACGGACTCGTTCTAAACATCGCTAACGAAGACAGCAAATTGAGGCATGAAAGCGCCTTCATTCGAGGCACTGGATATCAGTATGCAGTTATCCCTCTTCGATTCGCTCCAGCGAACGGGTCAGGATAGCAGTACTCCTGCCCGTGGAGCCTTATAGCACAAAATATGCAGCGGAAGATCTTCTCCTTTTGATCAAGTTATGCCGGCCAGTATTTAGATGTCGTGATGACGATAATTCCGATTGCATCACGTACATAAAAGAAGATGAGTACATTAAAGATTCTATCACCCTACCACTTTGACTGTAGTTATTTCTGCATGATTGAGAAGGACATTAATAAAAGTTTGGTGTAGGTAGCATTCTCCCTTGGCGGTATCACTTGATGAATGAATTTCCACATAGGATCTGGTCTTGTCGTCTGTTACACTGGACTTCACTGCCCGATAGTATCCATGGATCTCCACTTATCCACGCTCTTTTTGTGGTAGCCCAATTTCCCACTTGGATTGAAATTAACAGCAACCGACCTAGGAACGATGCTATCTGCAAAGGAAGTGGGTACGCCTGCTGTAGCTTTGGTAGATAAAGTGTGACTTCGGCAATGCGTTTAACCACCATGCAAATCAGGGAGGAACATACTGCTCCGGTACAACAATTGTAAAAGGTCTATCGGGCACCTTAAGAATTGTCTGCGACGATGAGATAGTAAATGCAATAAGTGTTAAAAAGATCAGCCGTCTGGAAAAATATTTTGCATCGGCAACAACCTACACGGCCTATCATCTGCAATTGTAAGATGGCAAATTAGTTGGATTTTGTATCGAAAGGTGGTCTTGTGAGCTTTTCCAACTAGTATACATCTATTTAAGCAAGTTGCAAATTAGTTTTGCTCAAATTAGTTGCTTTTACAGCGAAAGGTGGTCGTGCGAGCTTTTCCAGCTCAAGTACATCTATTTCTAACAAGATGATTCAAATGAGTTTTGCTCAATAGCTAACAATGTGTTGACCTAATTTTAGGAATTTGAGACGACTGAATTGACGATGCATTGGAACGGAAATTTATGTATGCTAGGTCGATGATCCAGATAGTTATTAAGCTAGCAGTAAAGTACAATGTAAAAGTGAGAAGGTATACTTGCGACAGTTTCGAGAGATGGATTTTAATACGGATAATGCAGACCGATCAAAATGATGGTGGTGCACGTCACTGTTATGATTCTGATCGGAGGTAGAAGAAGCATATTTCGATCAGGATGCCTAATTGGAAGGATGGTTGATCGAAACTATAAAGATGAAAATTTTCAACATGTCTATGTTAGAGTACCCAGTCAGCCATATCCACTGAAGAATATGTTCAGACAAACGGTGCAATAACGATGGATATACTTGAAGATTGAACCTGTGTGATAACTATCAGAAACAGGGTCTAAATAAACCGTGTAGATGTTAGAAATTGTGTCATCAAATTAATGTGGATACTTTTCTACCACTTTTGACATTGTAGTTAATATTGTACATTTTGGCGTGACATTTAGCTTTAAAGACAACATTTGGTTTTCGGTGCTGTATTGAGTAATATACACAGTATCGGGTATCGCCTGCATGAGATTAAAGGCGCCAACATATAAGTAAATTCGTGTGATTTCGATACGTGGTCAATGTTACCATCAATATAAAGACGTACAATGTCGTAATCACACAGAACCTTAAACTAGTTCAACGAGTAGTCGATAGAGTAGGATAGATTTAGTCGGAAGTCCTCTAGTACGTAGGCCGTATACTGCGAGGTTATATAAACGCCCATTTAAGGTATGAAAATAAATATGCCCCATGTCCCAATAAACGCATGGTAACGTGGCAACATAGGAACACATGTATTCGGTAATTTGTCGATTTCCCTTTTGTTGAGTTACTGACCCCCCCCCTCTGGGGAGGCAGCCATGGAAGTCACAGGCGTGCTGAACTGACTGCCAGGACTTGCGGGTTCAGATTGAAGACGTAAACGCGTTTTAATATCGTCCTCTATGACCATAAAAATAGGTCATTTGGTGCTGATGTTGTTGTTACTGTTATTGTTGTGTTTTGTCTGGTATTGTTGTATGTTCATTGTCTTTTTTGTTTATGTTTGTATCAGTTGCTGCAGTTTCTGTTGTTGCTCCTATCGTTGCTGCTTCTGTAGCTTCAGGAGTTACCAATATCATTATTTAATAAGTTGTAAGTTACATGTGTTATTCTTGTTGCTTTTTTCCTGCTGCTGCAAGTGTCAGATACATCAGCACTGTACTACAGTGCTGATGTCTAATATCTGTGTGGGATCAGAATGCACTTCCTGCTTATAACGTATATTTATGTAAGCATATTGACATGAGGAACATACTTTTACGAATCTTTTCATCTCTTTGTTTCTAATTTTAATCATCCTGAGATGTCAGACTACTGTAATTACAGGCGTATTGCTAGCAGGAACGGTATAATGATTCCATAAGCATAGTTTATGTATCTATCGAAGTTGCTAGTCATTCTAATGTACGACAACGTTGCTTTATTGGTTTCGTCCGCACGTTTGACATAGATGTAGTAAATATGTGTATCAGACATGACCTATACTCTAATTTAAATTCGATATTGTCATCTTGAAACGCCCCCAGCACAAAGCTTATAGACATGACCTTTACTCTAGTTTAAATTCAATATTGTCATCTTCAAACGCCCTCGGCACAAAGCTTTGTACAATAGGTTAAATCATCTTAGGAGATACATTATTGGATAAAAAGTGCTACCGTGCTGATTTTTACATTGCAATTTTGTTGCAGGTGAAAATCGGAGCTGTTAATACAGTTGAACTCCAAGAAAAGCACTCTGGACGTGGAGAAGTATCTGCAGGTCATGGCAACACACAAGACCTTTGGTTCAGACAAAGTGTTAGATCACTCTAGCTTATACATTATAGTTTAGAAGAACAAATACGCTATGTATTAAAACGTACGGTACGGACTTCAACAGTATTGTATCAATTTTTGAACTGCATCCGTCAGACTCGAAATGCAGACATCTAACGTTCAAAAATGGGGTGTCACAAACGTTCCGCATTATCCCGATGTGCTCCGAAACTAAAGTAAACATATACATGAAACGTACAAAAATTATCATATAATTTATGGCGCGTACGAATGTTTAAGGGTACACCCACCCACTGTATTCGACATGAGTTTCCGCTACGGCATCTAGCTTGCATTTATTACCTCTGCAAATGTGTCTCAACTTAGTGGAAATTTGATACGAGAGTATAGCATAAGACCTTTACGTTGCTGTGAATCCTCGCGACACCGTAATTAGACTTTTTGTTTTAGTAATGCCGATGGAACAGCATATTGCGTGTAAGTGCTGATTATAACAGGATGATTCCTTCATCGAAATTCAATAAAGATATGTATTTGATCTAGTTTAACGTGTGTATGCTAGGACGCAATAATTTTATATTTCCAATTATCTGGGGCATCTCTATAGTAGTTTAACAGGTAGGCACCACCTACTTACTACGTAGACACCCTTTATTATATAATGAGATAGGGGAGCAAGATATGGAGTATGACTTTGATATTAGCAACCCAGTTTGGAGAACTGAAAAGTGTTGCCAAACCCTGTACAACACAAATATCTAAATAATGAGTATAATGTTTTGATGCATGTAATAATTCAGTACAATGTTAAATGGCAACTCAATCAGCCTTTTCTCATGAGCAACCACAATTCGTTTCATTATCATATTCACCTTTGATCGATTCTCAGCCAATAGCTTGCATGCGTCACAATAGTGACCTAGCCAAAGAGTGGCTTTAAATTTACCTTAATAACTAAAAGGAAGGGAAAGCCTAGATAGCACTTAGTACGTGAAAGGTCCATAACATTAACGTTGCACACAATCACTCATAGCTTCACCCTTTGGGCATCAAAAAGCCTAATCTAAACGATGCCAGTGCCTCCCTAAAAATTTAAACATGCTTTTTCATTCCTAATGAACGTAGTAAAATTTCATGTATTACACAGACCCAGCACTGGCGCGTCCGGTGTACGTAATAGGGGTCTTCTTTTTCACACTCGTTGTGGCAGCCTCAATCTACTCAGTGTGCACGAGGTAGAATTGTTGTTCGTGTTGTAGCAGATTTGACTGCTATACTGGTAGCTTTATAAATACCAAGTCTAGAAACGACGCATTAATGCGAACTTTACACTGGTGCAGATATTTAAAAACTGAGCCATATTTTTTTCACTTTCATACATTCAGATGTAAACATTTCGGAGAAGCGTTATGGTACGATGTTTCAGCATCCGTTCCTCCTATGCCCCTTGATATTAATGAACTCATTTGCTGCATAAAATTGCTCGTTCTGCAGCCCATACTGACTCGTATACCGTGTTTGTAGACAATGGCCCAAGGATCAGAGCAGTAGTATCCGGAAGATGTAAACGCGTTTTAAGTTGTTGAAATACAGAGTCAGTAATGTCTGAGCTCTCGACAAAAATTCAGGGCGCTTTCATTTTCTCAATGTAACTCCACCACCAGCCACCTTTTGGCTTACATCTTGTTTTCGGTGTTAAGTACCTTTAGCCGTGTGTGTCTGGGGTGAACCTAAACACGAGTCCCATATTTTTCGATAAGCTTTTAGCGGGCACCGGTATTGCGTAACAGGTATATTTCTCTCCACAAACATTCTTTC